CATGTGCTCTCTGAAAAAAACACATATTTTTAACTGAAAACCTGACTGAGTAGCTGTAACAGAAACTGTGGAATTCATCAGAAGTCTGATGGTTGTGTCTCTACAGCAGGGTATGAAAGTCCTAAAATGAGGCAAGTTCTCCCACCCCTTGGCCTGGCCCTGGCTCCCAGTGCAAACATCATCTCTGTGGGTGACTCTGGCTGGAGATAACCCTGACTGCTGAACATCTCTCAGAACCAGAGCAAGGTGCCATTGGATGAGACAGACAATAGCATAAGCAGCACACCAGCCCATATATGGTCTTTTTACATCTCTAACATTGTCGTGCCCACACCAGGAATACTATCTAAACTGAGCTGCAAGATATAAAGCAATAGGCCTAGTACAGTTAGCAAACTCTCCGCCTCTCCTCCCTCTGTCCTGCAGTTGCAGGTCATGGGCTTTCCTTGAAGATGATCCAGAAGTCCCTGTGTGGGCTCTCCAGGTGAGTACAGACAATAACCAAGGCAGAGGTTGGGAACTGGCTGTGGAAGGGTTGTTTAAGTGGATGTCATAAGCTCAGAAGAATTTCTCCTGTTTGAGCAACTGAGGAAATATTTCCTGGATGCTCTTTATAATGGTTCATTTGGAATTTGGAGTTTATGCCAATGTCCAGCATGCCAGGTGAACCACTAGCAAGTCAACAAACAGGCGGAACTTTGAAATACCCCTAGGGAGCAAAGAAGCAGCTCCTTGCCTGGGTCCAGTCCCTCTGAACACTGGAGAAGCCTGTGTCCCCACACAGTGACCCCAGGGCCCACCTACACTGGGTACACTGTAAGGAAGTGAGTCTGAGTGTCCTAACGGGCAGATGCCTCGCTGAGCCAGCAGCTGGGGGACATAGAGAAGAGGCTGTCATTCCTCCCCCAAACAGGGGAGCTAGAACTCAGAGTTATAGAAAACTTTTGGAGGTCATACAGACAGACAAACGGTCAGTGGCCCTTCTGATGTCATTAGGCTAAGTGCCCTTGTCCGTGTATTGAGATACTGCTTGGCAGTTTCCACTAAGTACACTTCAATGACGCAGCAGTTCAAAACACAGCCCTACACCCAAGAAAATAGGAGAGTGCATATGTCCACCCAAAAAAAGTCACAAAAATGTCATGGACAATTTATTCATTGTTACCAAACCTGGCATTCACCTATATGTCCACCCAAAGGAGAATGGATAACAGGTTTATTCAGTGATTTATTACAAAATACAGCAATAGGGATAAATGAACCACTGATACACCATGAGTTTCAAAAATGCAGGTTGACCAAACAGAGCCACTCCAAACAAGTACATGCTATATGGTCCCATTCATAAGAGGTTCAAGAGCGAGTGGAATTAAGCCATGGTGGTGAAGGGCAGAGTGGCCACCGTGACTGGAGGGCACTGGTGAGGGCTGGACTGGGAATGAGCAGGTAGGAGCTTCAACGTGACAAGAACGTTGGTGGTGAAGGTCAGGACAGAACAGGGGCCACCTTGACTGTGGGGCACTGCTGAGGGCTGAACTGGGAAGAAGGGAGGAGCTTTCTGACATGGTGAGAATGTTCCGTACCTTGATTATCTTGATCTGGGTGGTGGTTACATGGGTGCATGTGTAAGTAAATCTTTGCAAGCTGTAAACTTACGGTCTGTGCACTTCACTGTATGTAAATTCTGCCTTGGTATTAAAAATTCTCCATAACTATAGTCAAACACTGCAGCCAAATCCCTCACAGAAAAGAAATAGGTACAGAGAAGTAAGTAATTCTCTAATTCAATACAACCTTGGAAATTGGGGAGGAATTCCAGGCTGGGCTGTTCCAGCAGGTAATGCATCTAACAAGTGTTTTGTTAACAGAAGCACGGGTCTGCTCAGGCCTGGAGAAGGTGTTTCTCCCACTTTTCATGGATGATCAAACCCAGAACACAGAATCACCCTTCCTTCTGTAGGAAAAATAACTCCAGGTGATGAGAAGAAGGGAGGGAGGTTTCTGGAGACTAGTGCCAGGCATTCCTCAGTGACACTCAGTTCTCTACCTCTGCTGGGCTTGGGAAGCCTTCCTGACAGCTCTTACTCCTGGCAGCACCCAGGTAGAGCCTTGGCAGGAGGAAGGGCGAGGTCTGTTCCAGCTTCACCTAGGGCATACAGAGACAGGCAAATCACCTCTCCTTGTTTGCCTGAACATACAAACCTCTAATGAACCCTCGCTGCTCGGTGCCCAAGGGACTAAGGATATAAACCTATGCAAAACCCAACCTTCAGTTACTTTCCCTGAAACCAGGGTGGAGGGAATGGCTAACAGCAAGGCAGAGGAGACAAGGGAGTTAGAGTGGAGCTTGCTGCTCCGCAGAGAGGTATCCCAGGTGAAATGGGTCCTCCTGCAGAAGCAGACGTGCAACATCTGGGATGAAGTCTGGAACTTCCAAGCCCAGCCTGATGATCTGCTCATCATGTCCTACCCCAAGGCAGGTACACTGGAGCCCTTGAAGACAGGGCTTGGAGTTGGAGCACATGTCAGCATCTTGTCAGCTCACAGACTGGCAACGGTCTAAGGTTTCTGTAAAACTAGAAGGTTTTTGGCTTTAGAGAGAGTACGTGGTTCATTTAACTAGCCAAAAGCAAATTGTTGAAGGAAAATAAAATCCATGTTATTAATTTTTTTTCTTTCATGTGACAATTATTTACTAATAATCAAAATACTGGAGACTGGCACCAACCACAGTGATAGGCAAAATATTCCTGATCTTTGCTATATTTCCAGTCTGGAGAAGAATACCAAACCCTTAAACAAATCCGTCCAAAGAGTTTCAAATACAGCATGAGATAGCGCTGGAGGGGCAATGCAGAGGGTGCAAATTGAGATGGAGGAAGGATGGCCTTAATGCAACTATTGTACAGGAGATGCATTGGCTTCTTCGACTGGGAGGAACTCCTCACTGAGTCCCTCCAACAGCAGTACTCAGTCTCTCATGGATCTGGAGACTGGAAGTTTAAATTCAATGCATGAGCAGCAGTCATCTCTCCTTGCAAGGAAATGACCTGTTTCGGTCCCCTCCCCTCAGGTTATATATAGCCTCACCACTTTCTTTTTTTTTTTTTCTTTAGAGATTTTTGCTATAGGGCACATGCGCTCACCACAGAAACAGAGAGAGAGAAGGCGAGAAATCACTGCCAGGGCAAATGGCCATGCCACATTCCCTTGTTCTCCATTTTCCTCTTGGGACTTTTGGCACACACACACAGACACATATGGCCACCATAAGTTTCAAGGCGCAGGGTCTAGAACATGAAGCACAGTTGGGCACGCAGGAGTCCATCACCCCAATCACCATGCCACCTGCAGCCCTGGCCTCTCTACTTTCACATCATATTCTCCCTGCGTGCATGTCTGTCCCCTAGTATACTATTGTCCCCATTCATACTGGATTGGACCCACCCTAATGACCTCTTTTTTTGCCTTTTGTTTTTTTTTAACTTTGTTTTTGTTTTTGTTCCTCTCATGAGTGTGTGCACTCACCAGAGACAAAGAGAGAGGGAAAGTGAAAAATCACTTCCCATGGGGAGGCCACACCACAGTCCCTTCTCCTTCATTCTCCTCTTGGGCACACAAGCACACACACACCCCCAGCATATTTTCCAAGCCACCAGGTCCAGGACTTGAGCTGCACACTCAGCCATGTGAGATTCAATCCTTAACCACCATATTACCTAGCTGTCCCATGATCTCTTTTTAATTTGATTATTTCTGTAAAGACTATCTCCAAATAATATCACATTCCGTAGTAAGACCTTCCACATCTGAATTTAGGGACAGATTTGTAGACAGAATTGGTGTGCCTTGCTGTGGGTGATATCATGAGAATAGCAAGTGTTGAGGGAATGAGGAGACAAGGGTGACGCACCACCATTTGCTGGTGTGGTGGGCAAACATGCCAAGTACTGAGGTGGGAAAGTGGGGAGAGAGGACCAGTCTGCGAGGGATGAGGGCATCCCTAAGGCAGTTGGATGAATTGAAGGGATTCAAAGTGGAGTGGAAAACACAAGATGTGTGTGTTGGCGTTTCCAGACAAGCAGTATGGTAGCATGGACAAGAGGGATGAAGTGCACATGGAGAAAGGGGAGAGAAATTGAGATGTGTTGTGGATATAAAGTTACTAGAGGACTGAGAGGAGGGATGGCTCAAGAAACTCTCTAGTTTGATGGACTGAATGGCCCATGAAGTCCAGAGAAGCTGGGGAGAGGGAAAGGCACAGGAGTTGGGCAGGTGGAAAGGAATAGAAGGGGAAGGGCACTTCTCCAGCAACGAGGGAGCTGTGAGATGGTAGCAGCTGACATGCAATGGCGGTTGACGGGGTCGGAAGGAAGGAGGCAGGTATTTAGAACAATGGGAACGAGCAGGACTTCATGGGATGCAAGCACAGAGGAAGAAGGGCAGGACTGAGCCCACCCACGTGCTAGACAGAGGAGGAGCCAGTGGGTGGTATTCTAGCAGCCAGCAGAACACATCCACCAGCCAGAACCTTCTGAGCACAGGGCACATTTGGATATGATGGGCCTTGCACGAGCACTTGGTAAACAGCCGTCACCACCGCCTGGAATAACTGCGGCTGCCAGTTCTATCAACACAGACGTCCCAAAGGCAGAACAGCCCCCACAGCTTAAACCGGCTTTCCCCAGCAAGCCTAGTTACGTAGGCTTTATGCTCTTAGCAACTTCCCCCAGGACAACACTTACAAAGCAGAAAAAGGAATAATGTGTCCCTACCTGCAGGACAATCAAACAGGTTCCCTGGGGGAGGGAGTGAGAGATGAGACAAACACAGGCA